CAAAAAACCAGGGAAGTGATCATCAGGTTGTCTCTCAAGTTCTAATAGTTCTGACAGTGTCTTTTGATATATATTTTAGCCTTTTCATGGTAATTAGTGGAAGAGAAAGATGGAATGTAGTTGCTCCATCTTTTGTAGAAGTAAATCCCAGAATAGTTTTTAAACTGGAGCAAACAAACTACAATTTAAATTTAAAAAGTGTTTAAAGTAACATGATTAGCAACTGAGTGGAAACAGAGTATGCAGACTCAAAGCTTTAGTGCTCTTCCTCTAATTAAAAGATAGCCACCTTCTCTAAAGTTTGTACCTGTCTTCAGCCTAAACTTAACATCTTAATACTTCTTGTCATGTTGGCTTTTCTTTTTAGTGACAGTTAATGTGATATTTTCTGAGCAAAAGCAAAGAATTTCATAAAATATTTTGGACATGTGAACTTTGTGGGCTATTATAATGTTATCTTGTTTACAAATGACTGAATTTTGTGATAACCTGAAATTGAAATTTATGGCTCATGTATTTTGGTGTGTTGGCAAAAGGTAGTTCTGGTTGCATGAACTTTTAATTTCTTGCTTCTAGGAGATAACCTCCACTAGTCACCTGCATTTCTGGCAGACTCAGCTAATCAAAATATGAAGATTACATATGCATAGCTCTTATTATCAGTCAAAATCCTTAATTCTCTATTTTATTTTTAGAATGAAAAGAGACGTGACAGCCTCTTCAAATATGTGTGTGTTTTAATATGTTTCTACTGCATCCTTCTCACTCTGTGTAACAGCAGAGGAAGACAGGCAGAAGATAGGCAGTGAACATGAAAAAACAGAAAAAAATGGCCAGAATTATTGGCATCTAATAGAAATTTTGTCACTGGGTCTTGGAGTATTTATAGCACATAACAGAACACCTCTCAGGCCTTATTTTTTTATGTTAACATCTCCCTTTGTGTGAATTAAATGATTAACTATTGAGTATTTGTTTATTAAGGAAATTAATATCTCAATTCATTGAAGGTTTGTCTTCTCTATATTTGGAATATCATAGAGCAGTGAACAAACACTCTTTACTGGCTTTTTATCCAGCTCCTAGCAAAACTGCTTAGAAATTGATGCTTAATTATGTACCTGAGATGTTTATGCTGATGACATAATCAGCTCTTATTAAGTGCCCAAACCTTACTATTTAAGTGCTTTTTCAGGGTTCCCAATGGTGAATGCTGGATTCCATTTTAACTTTTTGAAACAAGAATCGAGGGTCTTAATCCATGAAATGAAAGTTTATTTGTAGAAAAAAATAGACTGAATGTTGTTTTTATATCTAGTAAAAGTACCTGTGCTTTTCTAGTTTCCCCAAGTAAAAATTGTCTGAGTATATTACTTTACATATGACAAAATCAAGCAGATATTCTATTAAAATTAACTACATCAAAAAATATTTCAGGAAACTCTATGTTCCTCTCTGTTCCTATCATAAGAAAATGGAGTCCTAGAACAGCTTTTATAAATTTAAGACAATATTATTTTATCCCAATGCAAGTGAGGGCTTTCTGTAACTATTAAGTAACAATCAAATCTATTTTAACAATTGATTAATCTTTGAACACCTAGAATCCAGCTAGGCACTTGGCAACTTTGGTGGAAGTTCAAAAAGTTCTTAAGAAAATTGGGTCTGAAATGTTAGTTAAGGGCTTTGTATACAAAGACATCTGCTGAAAGAAAGTTGGGCTCCCTCATTTCGTTCTTTCACTTGTAGCTGAAGTTTCAGTTTGTTAAATAATCCCACTAATATCTTTGAGAACTTGAAAGTCTGTTAAAATACTGTATTTAAATCTTAGGGCAGTGTTTAGATAGTTTGCCCTTTTGAAGGTTGTTCTGACCAAGGTGTCACTGTTTATTTTCCAAGTTAGCTATTTTAAGAATGTTTTCTTCAGGATTGAATATATTTCCATAAAGTGACTGTGTACTCAACAAAGATGCCTTGCAATTTCAATTCTACCCAGCATTAAATGACTCCTGGATTTAAATAGTTGCAAAATTGCTGAATATTTCCTGAGTACTGATCTCAATATTGATGAAGATGTGGAATCTCTCTGACAGTTCCTAGGCTACTCCAATGTCAGAGGAAATGAGAAAGCACCCCTCTTCTTCCATTGCAAAGACAATCTCCCACCGCGGTGTGGCTCCTCACACCTTAGGAGGCTGATTCATTTAAACTAATTTTTCTAAAATTAAAATTCCTAAAAGTGTAATTGGCAAGCCTGTATAATTCAGCCAGCTGAAGCCTTGAAGCCTTTTAAATCCATTAAAATCTGTACAAAAATGGCAGTACCACAGAAACAACGAATGGCATTTACCAGGCCTATTTCTGTAACATTTATGTACTCATTTGTGGTGAGACAATTACCTTTTTAAGTTGTATCACTTTTTTAGGCACTTAAATGCAGATTAATCACAGATGCTTCATAGATTTTATAGAGGAAATGCATAATTGTGGCTTTTGATTTTTTCCTCCCACAGGACATTTGGCTGGCTTCTGTCCCTCAAGTGTTGCCAAGACATATTTTGATGCTTTCCTTTTTAATGATTCAGTTGTTAAAATTACCACGTGGCATGCAAATATTATTTGTGGGACCAACATAGAAAGCAGTCTTCCTTCCTTTATGGCATCTTCCTAACTGATAAATTAATATAATATTTTATCTGCTGTAATAACAAATCTCATTTAGAAATGACACAAAATTTGGAAAATGATTTTGTTTCTCACAGATTTTTAAGAATTTATCTTCAATAGGCAAAATGGTAAACTTTGATATTATATTTTAGGAAATTGTGTTTAGTATTCTGATTTTAAAATACTCCCTTCCCTTACAGAAAAATAATCAACATTTTCCCATCCATTTCTAAAAGCACTAAGACTAAGGGTGGAAACATGGTGAAATTAAAATAACAAGGTGAAAGACTGGCAAGCTAGAAGTTTTGACATCTAATTTAGTTAAAATTATAGTCATACCAAATAGGTGACAAAATATATAAATGACTGATTTTTTTTTTTTTTTTTACAGTGTTTTGAACAGTTACCTCGGCATTTTAGAAATGTAGATACAGAGGATTATGACACTAATGAACACTTTATTTTATTTTACTTTTTAAAAATTGTAATTTAATTTAATTTAATTTTAACTTGTCAATATATATTGTAGTAGATTTTCATGTCCCTTTACCTGTTCCTCTTATCATGGTTTTTTTGACAATTAAAACTCTGGTTAGCCAGGTAAAAAGAGTTACTCTTTACTCCTTACAGGAATATTAAGTTGGAATTATAGAATCTAGCCTAACAATTTAATATATATCCAATCTGCTATGGACAAAGTATTCTCTTTCATGACTGTTGGCTAACTACAGTAACTACCAAAACAAGTATCTGGCTATAAAATTTGTCTGTCTGCTTTCAACATATGGATCTTAACAGTCAATGAGACCATAACAAATGAGAAAGCTCTTGGGAGCCTTTTGAGTTTTAAATTGAAGCAGTGGTAGAATGTGGTATTGTATATTCTATACTGTATGTATTTAGTGAAAGTTTTTTAATTAGGCCCAACTAATGTAAAGAAGGTATGAACATCTTTATTTCAACAAATGAGTTAATAATAAATAAGTTAACAGTACACAAATCACTTATTTAACAGGTACTATCCTCAGCACTATAAGAGTCAAGTGCTACATGAATAGAAACCATTACAACCCAATCCTTCAAACTGGATGCTTACAATAGGATATAGGAGAAATATTGATTTGTATGTTCAGGTAGGGGCAATGTGAGGTAGTACACTGAGTCTGTAACAAACATTCTAGCAGTTCATCAAGTCCTCTAGGACATCAGGGAAGAGAAAGCTCATTTTCAACTTGGCCTAATTAAAAACAAAAATTCTTCATGAAAAGTTTGGGACTTGGAAGTGGTATGTCCCATATTCTGTTGTGTTTTTTCCACTACTTCTCCGGCTGTGCCTTTTTAGTCTAGTTTGCCAGCATTTCCTTTTCATGTGGCCATTATATGTTAGAGTTCCTTAAGGCTTTCACTCTTTTCTTCTTGTTACTTTCTCCCTAAATAATCAAGTTCAAATCTGTAGCTTTCATTACCATCTCTATATTAATAATATCCAAACATGCATCTGCAGATTATGCCTCTTGTGAGATCCCTATATCCAACTGCCTCACTAGGATGTCTCAAAGGTACTTCTGGTGGGGGCTGTTGATAACGGGGAGGCTATGCATGTGTGGGGTCAGGGGATATATGGGAAATCTCTATTTTCTGCTCAATTTTGCTGTAAATCTAAAACTACTGTAAAAATTAAAGTCTATTAAAAAATTCAATCTGATCTTGCATCTCCTCCTCAGTGCCTGAAAATGCTTTATTGCCTTCCCAATGCTGCTAGAATAACTGTTGGAAGTTTCTAGCATGGCCCCCGTCCACAGCTCCGTCTCTTTTTGCAACACTCTCACCTTTTTGTTCTCTGCTTTGCAGCCACCCTGGTCTCTTTCAAGTCCGAATGGTACATGTACAATCCCTCCACAGAGCTGCTGCCCCACCCCCTCCTCCTTGCCTAATCAATGTCTGCCCATCCTTCAGACTTGCTCATTGTCACTTCCTAAGAGAAGACTTCTCTGCTCCATGTCCTTCTGCTAAGTGGTTGCTTTTGTTCTCTCTCTCACATAAATAACCTGTTATTTGCCCAGAGCCCTTACCACTTTAGTATGTAGGCATTCATAATAATTAAATATCCATGATTATTTATTAATATCTGTCTCCCCTGCTAGACTGTAAGCACAGTGAGGCAATGCTGCCTTTTTCTGCTCACCACTGAGCCTAGTGCAGTGTTCGGAACACAGGAAGCATTTAGTAAATTTTTGTTGAATGAATTAATAGAAGAAAGAGTAAGAACTGCCAAATGAGCTGTTGGTTACAAATTTGCTTACTGTGTTCTATCGCCATGAGAGGTTTGGAGTCACTGAAGTATATATATTAATTAATATCTCAGAAAAGGACTTTTATGACCATGCATTTTTAAAAGTCCCATTACAGCTGAAATATTTTTTTTAACCCTAAGCATCTATAATTTATGCAGTAACTCAGTTCTGGGTTCCTGTGATTCCAAATGGATAGGTGCTTTGTTCTTTAAGGCATTGAGAGCTTATGGTGAACAATATGAAAATGGTTTCTTGACAGTGGTATTATCTGATGTCGGGGATTCTCTCCATGTTCAGCCTCTTCTTTCAAGTCATAAAAATTTCTCTCTGAATAGGTGGCCACTCAGAAAATGGAATGCTCTCTTCATTGCTCACTGACAGACCCCAACATAAAGTCACTTTTCAGCCATGGGGCAGCCTAGCATGCCTCTGGCAGGTGTTTTGATGGTAGCCAGCACCATGAAGCTGCCTGCTTGCAGCGGCACACTGAACTTTGTTTACAGGTGGCCACCACTGCACATTTTCCCTAACTACATTAATAAACAATGGAGAGGAAGAAACAGTTCCCTTACTTTCCAGGTAGGCTAAGCAATTTATCTTAATTACTGTCAGTCCTTAGTGACTACTAAAAGGATCCTAACTGTTCACCTGAATATTGATGATGTGAATTAGTAGTACATTTTCGGACAGCCAGCTATGGATTTTTGGGTTCTCTGACATGTACTTTTTTTTCCCAATTGAATTTACACACACACACACACACACACGCATATGTATTCTAAATGGATGCCTTTTCTTATTACAGTCAGTCCTTTCCCATGGTGCTGTGGCAGACTGTGCTGTTGTTGGCAAGGAAGATCCTTTGAAAGGTCATGTCCCCTTAGCACTTTGTGTGTTGAAAACAGGTAAGACATCTTTGTTCTCCCTGATTGTTTGGCCCCTGAATGATTTACTAAGGTTAATTCAGTGCTTACCATCTGAACTTTTTCCTTAGATATAAATGCAACAAAGGAACAAGTTTTGGAAGAAATTGTCAAACACGTTAGGCAGAACATTGGCCCTGTGGCTGCTTTTCGAAATGCAGTGTTTGTTGAACAGTTACCCAAAACCAGATCTGGCAAAGTTCCTCGATCAGCTCTATCTGCCCTTGTCAACGGCAAGCCATATGAGGTAGATTATCAGGGAGTTTCAATACTGGGGTCTGAAATGTTTTTCTCCATTTCTGTGGCATCAGCAAAGCTCTTAAACAATAGTTCTCAAGCATGAATTATATCCCTAGAAAGCACATAATAGTACTACTTTTTCATGTGAAGGGGCATTGCCATTCACTCTATAGGAATGAGGGTTTTGGAAAGAAACACAGTTAGTTAAGACCATATGCTTTGATTATAGGAACTAGCATGTGGAAATATTTTTACTATTAGTAATTGTCAGTTAAGTTCAAACATACTTGTGGAACTCAATCCTATTGAATTAAAGGTACAATTTCCCTCATTATAGTCATCAATGATTATTAGTAAATGAGGAAGCAGAAAAATTGTGGCTGACAATAAATGTTTGAAATGTTCTAATTGATACACATGTTAATTATTTCTCCTGTTTTGAGTGACAATTATTTGAGAAAACTTCAGGCTGCTTCAGTCATATGTATTCCTTTAATTGGTGTGCACATTATTTGTGTATAGTTATGCATATTTTTATCATAAAGACAATGAAAGGCAATGCAACAGTAAGGAACAGCTGTTTGAGCAAATACAACAACAAAAAAATCTTTCCACAGAAGCACATAGAAAGGCTCTTCAGAGGAACTCTAGAGAAAGTACCATCTAGGAAAATAGTTTTATTAATTGAACAATTTATTTTATTACTTTGAAAGACTATAGATAAATTTTAACATATGTTAAAAGTTCCCTGTTTTGGAACATTTCTATATGAGTATTATAAAATAATGGGGAAGACAGCATTGCATATCATTGCTTAATTGTAGAGAGAGTGGAAGAGATTCACGAAAGAGCATTCATCTGACTCTAAATTTCTTTTCAGGTATCTCCTACAATTGAAGACCCCAGCATTTTTCGCCACATAGAAGAAGTGCTGAAGCAGGCATCATGACTTTTATGTTCTATTTTGAGTCCATTTGAGTTAATTTTCTAATTGAAATTAAATTATATGAGTTATTTCCACAAAACAAATATTTAAATGGAAATGACTTGCAAACTGAAATGTGAATTATAAAGCCTGGCCTAAACAAATTTAATTAAGACAAGTGAAAGACCTGCACTTTCTGTTTGATTTGACCCCGTTAACATTGTTATTAGTTACCTGTAACAGGGCTCATTATATATTGTCTAACTCTTTGAGAAAAATGTGTCTAGTGTATGATTTTTTAAAAACCGTACCCTCCAAAAACATATTTTAATGGAAAGTGACACTAACACAGAGTCAATTCCTGAAATTAAGAATCTACAGCTTTCATTCAAAATCTAAAACTTAAGTTGAAGTCAGAAAATAATTAAAATTTTTCTTATAGAAATTCTGAACATTTTCTAATATTGTTTAGATAAGCACATTGTTTTAAATAAAAGATAAAATGGAAAGTTTAGGTAATTATCTAGGGCGGAGGACCTATCTAGCCATACTATTCCTAAGGGAAGGCTGGACTCCAGGGTTATAGCCCTGCCTTCAGGACACCTTTTACTTAGGTAAGGGAAATCCCATGCTTGGCAGAGAGCCCAGAGGTCACTTAGTTCGATCTATTCATCATGGAGCCGAGAGTTCCTGGCTATAGCCCTGCCTTCAGGACACCTTTTACTTAGGTAAGGGAAATCCCATGCCTGGCAGAGAGCCCAGAGGTCACTTAGTTCGATCTATTCATCATGGAGCCGAGAGTTCCTGGCAGCTCCTTCTCACTTCTCAGATTCTGTGCACTCTTTAAAGAGTCCAGCTTCCTATAGAACAAGAAAATGATATACAAACGGGGTAGGGTAGCAAGGAAAACTCTTAAGGAAAGTATGTAAACATTTTTACATTAGACTAAAGATCAAGGGGACTTCCAGGCAGGTAGTGTAATGTCAACTTTTGAAGTGACCTTGAGCCACTTGACCAAAATATCACAAGGACAACAGGGAATGATTAGGACTGGAGAGCACTTGCTCCATCTAAGGGGGCAGCCCCTATTCAGTCCCGGCAGAATATGGCCCCAGAGGGTGATAGGTACTCTGCTGAAAGAGTCTCTAGTTTTTAAGATAAACCAAAAATCCATATTTTTATGTGAAATCTAATTTTTAAATAATAACTCATTAAAAATAAACTTTTATAAAACTCAAGCATTTAAAAAAAATTGAAAAATGAACTTATGGTAGTGTGCCAATAAACTAGAGTAGATAGATGTAGGTAATTAAATATTTGGTTTACTTAGCGTTTTCCATAGCATCAGTTATCAAAGGGTACATTTTAACACAAAAAGTATACCATGCCCATTGAAACTTTTGCAATCTTTCAGTCCATCAGGAATATTATCATCAAAAGCAGGATGTCCTAATACAGTAATCTGGGTACATAAAACGTATGGGCGAGATAATAGATGAGAGTTTATTTAGTTATGTGTTTCATAAAAATAACTCTCAACCTGTATAAAAACATCCTGAAAATGTTAGCTTTTGGAGTCTGTAGGCTATAAAATAAATGGCTTCTCAAAGTAAATTCCTATGTGCTTAAATTGTCTTCTTGGCTGTTACACCTGAAAAAATATATTCATCTAGTTGTTCCCTTTGATTATTTCATAGTCTCAATTAAACCAACTAGATAAATACTCTATAATTTGAAGCTGTTGGCTTTCTTGAACTGTCTCTTCTACTGAGTACATTTTATCCATTATCAAAATTTTAGTCTTTACAAATAACTCATTCTTAATATCTTAGCAGTAAAATGTATTTCCTTACTTTTTTCACGTAAGATTCATTTAATTTGAAATGGCAAATTCTTTAGCTAAATGTATGTCACTGTTCAGTTGCAAGATCCCCAAATTGTGTAAAGGTTACATCTCTGATCCTTTTGCACATTTTTTTTCTGGTAATCAAATCTAAAGGGACACTTCAGCAAGCAGGCTGGATTATTTTCCTGGTTGCAAGATCCCCAAATTGTGTAAAGGTTACATCTCTGATCCTTTTGCACATTTTTTTTTTCTGGTAATCAAATCTAAAGGGACACTTCAGCAAGCAGGCTGGATTATTTTCCTGTTTATCGGGACTTGGAAACATTGTGTAAGACTGGGAAAGTAGCTATTTCTTGTGTCTCATTAAGGAAATTTATCTCCTCTGCAGGGTCAGAAAAGTACTGCTACTTTCATGTGACTAAAAGCAGGGCAAGAAAGATACAATCAAGTCATCAGACTGCTTAACATTTGGGAGAAAAAAAGGAATTTTCTATTTTAATACTAATTTTAAAGCACTTTCACCAGGTAGTACATAAAATATTCTGAATGAAATGTGTCTTTAAAAACAACAACGCAATGTTACTAAAAAAGTGCAGTCATACTTAAATTTGCTAAAATAAATTCTTTGTGATCTTTTGATATTTTCATAGAATTTTTTACTGTAAGACATTGGAAAAAGGAAAATATAAAGTAATTCAAAATCTGTAAAAATGTGTTTTCCAATTAACAGAGCTATTTTCCTCATGAATATATATTAAGTATATACAGAGGAGACCTTCCTTACATTTGAAAAGCAGTTTTATTTATCTGAAAGTGTACTTGATGGGCTCTGATTATTAGAAATGTGAGAATTCTTAATGTTGATATTCCAAAAAGAGTAACACTGAGATTCTGAGCTTAATCCATTCAGTGGATTTAAAATCTGGTAGAAATTATCTTATAAATTAAAGCCTATTTTATGCTTTTTTTGAATAAAGCACTGGATCTTTTCTATTATTATATGTCTGGGTCTATTATAAGTAATTAATATTTCTTACTTGATTTTTAAAAGGAAACTTTAGTGATTAAATGGTGTATAAGAGTAAATACAAATCTGGTTTTAGCACTATAATAGCACAGTTTCCATATTATATTTTATTTCTATGAATAAAATATATTTTATTTCCATGGTCATATAAGCTTAGAAGGCATTTTTTCATTGTTTCGACTCAAGCAACATTTTTAGAAAATATAAAATCACTCCCATAAGCAAGTTTAGTACTCCCTCTTGTGGCAGACTCACTTCTGACGCTAAATATTAGATTGAAAGTCACTAAAAAATGCTTTTCATTATAGTTCAAGTAAATCATCCAACTTTATGTGACTAGAAAACAAAGCTTAAACAGAGAAATGGAAGTATTTTTTTTTTATTGACAATGGAGAGGATTTCTGTTACCATTACCTTTTGACTGAATCTGTTAAACAAAAATAGACATCAAAACAAATGTAATGTACGTGCAAACATAGCAAATTATAATACAAAAAGGAAATTACTAATGACAGGTTTTGCGCTTAATAAGATCAAGCAGCAGAAAATCAGCAGTTAGATAAATGATATTATTAAATAGATTTTACTTTGAAATCTCCAATATAAACAAAGAATAAACAACAATAACACCACCAAATAAAGCCACAGGGAAGAGATTACTCTTCTATACTTTTATACACTATTTATGTTAATCATTCTGTCTTTCATTTATTTCCTCTGATAAAATTGACTTCAGGGAAGTCACAACAAGGCCATCTTGGCTAAAAGCTTATAACATTAAACATGAGTCTGGCTAATGCCCTGTTACACTGACAAAAGAGAAGGGTTTCCGGGATTTTGATTTTCCAGTGGAAATGAGCCTCAGACTCTGCAGTGGTTGACATTCACTGTCCAGTGCTGGCTGGAGGTTCAGGATATTCAAATGAACATGTGATTCTCAGTAAAGAAGTTTTTCTTTTTTTCTTGGTCCACAGGTAACAAGAGAAGATAATGTTTCTTTTTTTAATATAAATTTTTAAAATAATTGCTTTTGACTCTTGTAAACAGTTTGGCTTTGTTTTGTATTGAAAACGAGATCGAGCCATCACAGTGCTATTTCTAAAGATATAGGACATCCCTGATTGCCTTTTAAGGTCTATTTTTGGCTCCAGTTCCAGGTTAAATCATTCTTTTTTACATGATCAGAGGCAGGTGTTCAGCTTTAAGTATCGACAGACTTGAAGGAGAAACATGTTGAAGCATGAAACATACTTCAAGGAAACATATTGATTTGACTTTTACAATTCAAAAACTGTAAAAATGGCAGAATGGTAAAATACAAACAGTACTTAGAATTGTCAAATGTTTGCACTCAAGACTCCATGAACCATATATTTTATTTTTTAAAAAATCATATTTATATCCATTTACATAAGACTTACACATTTAAAAAGAAATACACAATAATACATAAATGCCTAGTATATTACAGTAAAACATGAAAAAACAAGTGGTTCTTTTCATAAAAGCATCTGTTTTACAGAGTTTATGATGTGGATGATGTTTATTATTCAAATGACTTAAGCATTTTATTACAATTGTAGTAAACTAACCAAACTTAATATCTGACTCCCTCCAAAATCACATTTTCAGCTTTTAATAAACCATTACTCATGGTTATATTGATAGAATTCAGTCTTCACAAAGATTTTCACTGCTTGTCTTCTTAGATGGTAGTGCACTTTAGGTAGAATAGACTGAAAAGACGACATCTAAAATATGTAAAGAATAGTGTTAGTTCACTGGAACGTCCAAGCCTAGTAAATCCCATTCTACTCCTCCATGCAACCTGCCTACTTCTGCCTTAAAAGATAATGAAAAGGAAGTCATCTAAGATCTAACAAATAACTGTGTGAAATTAACATTTACTCTTCTCCAATTTTGTGCAGGAAAGCTTAATAAATAATAGGATTTGCTCTCTTTGTGGAAAGTATGGTAGTAATATGAACGAAGGAAGTCACACAAAATGTCAGCATGCCTTCTGAAAAATTTGCAACTTGCTAATTAATAAATTCAGTTGAGTGGACCTATTGCATGGGATAGATTCATATTCTAGTTCATATATTTTAGAGCTCTTAAAAAGATACCTTTGTTTAATTGTGATAAAAATATAGTGATAATAAATAGCATTTTAAAGGATCTGTGTCAGTGGTATGGCATCACTGATTCTTTCCAGCCATAATATACTTAGGAAAAGCTTACAGTTACTATTACTGACACAGAAGAAACAGGAAGTAGTATGTTCTGAATTATTTTTATAACAAAAATGCTAATGTTTTATCAAAATAAAAATTGATTTTTCTAGACTTACTTATTGTAAATAAATACTGTTATCCCATTTAATGGTAGAAACTAGAAAATATGAACTAGAATGTCATGCACAAAAAAACAGATTGCGAATAGTTAGAGAGTAATTCTACCCATCAGTCGAGAGCTAAGAAGCAAGCACTACTGTTCAAATTATAATAGTCATTTGTAAATTAGTGAAGTATTCAGTTCCTGGAGAAATTATCATAAGTGTAGAATCTATTATAAACAGTATTTTGGAAAGCCTCCTATTTAGCCAAATTATTATATACTGTAGATCAAGCCTAATTAGATGCCAAATTGTATACCATAATTAAATTTCTAATGTTAGGGTTGTACATTCTGAAATTTAATCTCTTATCTGAATGCTTTGTTATCATAAGTGTAGAATCTATTATAAACAGTATTTTGGAAAGCCTCCTATTTAGCCAAATTATTATATACTGTAGATCAAGCCTAATTAGATGCTAAATTGTATACCGTAATTAAATTTCTAATGTTAGGGTTGTACATTCTGAAATTTAATCTCTTATCTGAATGCTTTTGGTTTTATCAGCTTCAAATAGTCACCCAAATAAGGCAGCAAATCAGCTCCCGTATTAGGCCCAAGAGACCAACAGTAAATTGCTTGGAGCTTTTAGTTCAAGGCAATGAATAAACAGCACAAGGTGAGCTGTTCCCCTGCCTATAACTGCTTCATCTTCCCACCCCTGTGTACACGTTTAGTTCTAACTATCACTCTAAAAAGTATTTTTCCAAAATATTAATTCATTGAAAATGGTAAAATGTTTTGTGTAAAACACAGTCTTATGTTAAAAAAATTTTATGAACATTTGACATTTGTAAATCTAGGAAACCACAGTTTTACTAATAAGACTGTTTTTCAAAAAAACTCAATTTTTATATGGATTTAGAAGTAGCTTTCATCACCTAGTATTTTTCTCAATACAAATTCCTTATATCCTATGGTAATATAACAAGATTTTGTGTTGGTTGTATCCTCCATTCTTAAAAGTAATTTTATTTTTTTCCTATATTATAAGCCCCAGATACTTAAAATTCATATCTGTTTTCAACAAATATAAATCACATTGATGAAAAACAATATACTAAAAGTTCAAAATATTCAAGTTCTACTTTGGTTTCTAATATGAAACCATCTCTAAATCCCCAGATACTTAAAATTCATATCTGTTTTCAACAAATATAAATCACATTGATGAAAAACAAGATACTAAAAGTTCAAAATATTCAAGTTCTACTTTGGTTTCTAATATGAAACCATCTCTAAATCATTTTCCTGTCTCTGCCATTATTTGACTCTGTAAACTTGCTTAAATCACTACCTACCTACCTACCCTGCTTTGGCTTCCTTATATAAAATATTCAGTTAAAAATACAGGATTTTGTAAGTGCCAAACTCTTATCAATAAAATGCTATGTGATTCAATATAAAATGCTACGAAAAAGTAGAAAACTGTGGTAGCAATGCACTGATGTGTAATAATAGAGTGATAGGCCTCCAACAGACAGACCTTAAACCGTAACAGACAGATGGTGATGGGAAATACTAGATTAGGGTATAGTACAAAGATTCCTGTTTCCTCATCTAGCAGTTCAAAGGGGTTATCTCACTTCTGTACTACGAGGCCTTACCAAAGATTATAGTGTATATTTACTAGTCTATGTAGCTTCCAGTTTTTTTTGTTGTTGTTGTTGTTGTTGGTTTGTTTTTTTGGTCAGCCAAAGGGGAACTACTCACAGCAGGTCAGTGCTGCCTCCTTTGAGTGGCTTGTCAACATGAGTATGTGCGAACAGTGGAGTTGTCTAACCTCTGCAGTCTTGATGAAGCAACTGCAAATGGAGAAAAGGGCTTTAGAGGGACTTGGATATTGAGTACAAGATTTCAGATGAGAAAGACTTATTTTCCCTGTATAAAGGGATCCTGAACATCTTAGTAGACTTTCTCTTAGATACTAGCCACTCACATTCCTCTTCTCTAGACCAACTTACTAATGAAAATGTACCCCAGTGTAACTCAAATGAGCTTTTGAATTGTTACGTATTCCTCCTTAGATGAAATCTGTGACAAGAGCAGCACCCCAGGGTGCTTCTGTTTTTGATGCGAAGATTGTTCTTAGAGAACTAAGTGTGGTGGATTTTGTTTCCCTCTAAGTATCAAAGAACTTCTACACTAATCTAAATCATGTTAAATTCCTCATGAATTTTGCTGACATGTTCCATAATATTAACAAGTTATAAGAATTGCAGATCAAAGATCACAGTTTATGTTAGAGCTTATTTTAAGGAGCCATAAAAGCTATGACCGTGAAAAGAAATAAGATTCTAGGTGAGTATCTTAATAAGAAGACTGGAACTATTTTTCTTTAGCACCTACCAAACCAAAATAATTTTGTGACTACTATTTCAAAGTTGTTTCTCCTGCAGAATGACTGTTTTCCTTTGTGAAGTACATAACACAAGTCTAATGTCCACAGAAGGAAATACTAATTGAGAAATTACTGTTGGTTTTGTGTTTAATTCTCTTCTCACGGTTGTGCTTGTTTATTTAAGGCCTTCTGCCTTGGTCAGAGGTAAAAATATCTGAAAAATATGAATTTCTGGGTGAAATATTAAACTTGCAGTATTTTAACATGTAGGGTGACAGTGGAGTTCATTTCCATTTACTATGGACCTTTTGTCCAAATCCAACCTCTAACTTAAAAATATATATATATTTACTTTGTGAATAGAAGAGTAAAGAAACACAAATCATGGAGATGTTTATTGTTCTTCCTAGATGTGGACATTAGCCAAAATTGTTCTCTTCAGGATATTATGAATTACTTTAAAAATGTGAATAAAAGTGCCATGAGCTCATGCATTAGCAATGTGCAAAGAAGTCTGGTTTTTGATGAAAGCAAAGTAAATTTCAAGCAGAGCAAACCAACCCAAGAAAAGACTCAATTCCAGAAAGCTATGCAAGGTCAGAGAATTATACTAGCTCTTGCTAAACAAGCTTTTTACTTCATAAGCAGAAATGCAGAACTACTGTACCATCCGTTGTCATTTTCCTTGACTGCCCAGACGTTGTGGTTAACCTAAATCCAGCTGGTAATGTTTCTGAGGACCCGGGCATCATGCTGATTCCATGCACTTCACGAGGAGGAAACTGCCTTCTCCAGGTCGATCCACGTCTGAAACTCTTGTCGTCGCCCTGCCAGTACAGAGTTAGAATTTGATGCAATGAAAACAAGCAAACTAGTCCAGGTGCTTAAAGCTGTACGCTTAGAAACAGGTACATAGATTACGCCGAGCATACATATGGAATATTATGCTTGATCTCGAGTGTTCTATTAATTCCAAAATGAGAATGTAGGAGATTTGAAACAGAAATGTTTCTATAAAACTTTTAATATGATGTCAAATCTAAGATTTGACATCTATTAAGTCAACATCTTTGAAAACCTAAAATAGAACCCCAAAGTTTTTCCAAAAGGAATATGAGATATACGGTGTTACGCTTTATGCCAGCTGGTTTTATGGCATTGGATGATATACTTAATTGAGTCAGTTGTTGGGTAGATTACGTTTGACTCAAACACTTGAATAACATCACTTTTGTGTAGAAGGGATGTATGTTGTGGGAAAATCTATATGTGAGATGTCCTGGCTAATATGGGATACTATAGCCTATAATCTGTATAAAAAACTCTAAATTTGTGATTTATTTGATTTCATGTGATACGGAATTAACTTGTAATTTGTTGAAAAACATGTGCAGCCTGGACACCATTCTTTCAATAAATATGTGTGCTCTTTAGGTGCCACTGAAAACATAATATAAATCTTGTTACATTTTAATAATGTAATTCTGGTCGCTGATCCTGCTATATCTTAATGAAATAATCTCTTACCTCCCTATAGATACACAAAGTACACACAGTACAGATACAAAGATTTTTCTCTAAATTGGTAAGCAGCAACATGTAAGTTAGCATTTAAATAATATTACTCCTGTCTAATTCTAAGGAAAATATTAATCATTCTGTGTAGATCTTATCTTTCTATAAGTTTCTAATTTAGGGAAGGACGGTCTATGCCCTGAGGTTAGAGCCAAGTATTTGTTGTTTAACCTACTGCTTCATTTGACTTCATTTCAGCATATATAGTAATAGGTCGATATTCAGCTCAAATTATCATTGTCATAAATGAGCAACACTACAAGATATTCTTCTTCACAGACTGCCAATTCAATTAAGTGACATTTAAAGTCAATCTGGGGGGCTGGCCTGGTGGCGCACTGCTACAGTGCGCCACTTGGGAGCACGGCGGCGCTCCCGCCGAGGGTTCGGATCCCACATACAGACCGGTTCCCGCTCACTGGCTGAGCGAGGTGCGGACGCAACACCGAGGGTTGCGGTCCCGTTGCCGGTCCCGGTCTGGTACGGGCGCGACACTGAGAGTTGTGATCCGTTGCCGGACACGAAAAAAGACAAAAAGGAAAAAAAAATAAATAAATAAAGTCAATCTGGACCAAAAAGTCATTTTTATATAATTACATATATCCACTGTTAGAAAGTCTGTTGCCGGACATGAAAAAAGACAAAAAGGAAAAAGAAAAAAAAAAAATAAAGTCAATCTGGACCAAAAAGTCATTTTTATATAATTACATATATCCACTGTTAGAATCCCTATCATCAGTATCTAAATTTTGCTTATATTTGGTAACCACTGTACAGGTTAAGGATGTCTGCTACTCTTCTCAACTGCTGTGTTTTACATTGCCTTAAACCTCCAAATGTCTGTAAATGTAGAAAAGAAAAATAATCTTACAGTTGCAACCTCTATGACTTCTTGATTCTTAGAGAAGTTACTGCATTAAGCATAACTATTCTTCAGTTCTACAAAACACTACATTCCAATGTAGGGTGACAGACCTCTTATAATAAATGTAGGAGCTAAGGGCTTAAAAATTAGCCAGTAGGTCATGAATTTAAATTATGATTCCTTACTCCTGCTCTTTCAATATGTGTTACTGCATAAAGTTAATAGGAACCATCAGCAACAACATCATGAGAAAAAAGTTTTCATAAGATATGGCTAAAGATATCCTTTTAACTGGAGTCAATATCTGTAGAATTACATCAGCACTTTTCAAATTATTTCCACAGAAGCCCCAGAAATAAGTCCACTATGGTTCTAGACAAGTTGTTCTGTTTATTTTTGCTCATGCTAAAGAAAAAAAAATAAAAGAAAGAAGAACTGGACAAAAGAGACCACATGGTTTAAATGATAAAATCATGTATTGTCCTTTTAAAAATAAGAAAAAGAGGTAGCATATATTAAAGGCAGGTAGTCATATCTTATTTAATTGTCTCAATAGACCTTTCTGCTTGGTCATTACTGTCAAGGATTAATGCCATAATCCATACCCATATAGACTTCTGTCTCTACTTGTACAGTTCTAAAGGTCAATCCACATTTCATAATGTAGCAAAATGAAAGACCTTTAACAATTTTTGTTAAAATTTGTTTTGCAACTTTTAAGTAAGAATAGTTGTATTTTAAAGTGTATGAGTTTATAAGATTACTTTTTGAATCAACAATTTAGAATAAGGATTAAAAAGATTGTCAAACTATAAGACTAAAATCAGTTAAGTATTAACTGGGTTTTAAAAAATGTTAATCATTGTCCTGATTGGATAAGAGTATGAATTTATCAGAAGTTAGTTGGTCAAGACTATAGAGCTTATCTCTCTATAATCTTTTCACACAAAGGACAGCATGGGTTTTATAAAACCAAGATCATCTACCGTGTCCATTTGAATATGAAATTATTGCCCCATTTTAAGATTTGTTGAAGTCATTCACAAAATTATTTTAATCAGCTTATCTTCATAGCCAAGAAAGACCTGCAGTTTGCAATAACGAATCACACATCTCTGTACTTTCCACTTCAGAACCAGATTTCTCTCCCACTTTTCCCAGAAAGTAAAAAAAAAAATAAAAAAAAAAAACAACTCAGGACTATTAAGTATCTTTCAATCTATGGGGTTTTGTTAATATCCCTTGTATTCATTCATCTTAGGAGGCTACTTACATGTTTATTATTTTCCAATCATCTAAACATGCATATAATATATATAGGAATTCTTACTCTCAATATAACTTTCAAATCCTATGACTATTAAAATGTTACTCACCTGTTTTTAAAGAAAAGTCAATATTGATACTTAAAATAATGAAAAGCTTCCCATTTGTTGAAAGCAAGTTTTCTCTTCATTTTAATATCCTAACATTTCCTGGGAAGATTATACTAATATTTTAAAAATAAGCACATTCCTTATTAAACTGAATTTATCAATATTAGTATTTGAATTGCTTATAATTTTTTAAAATGTTGCTCAACAGTTTGCAGTTATAGCTCATAAAAATCTCTTTCTGAATTGCTTTTTAATGTTTCTAACTGCTGGGATGATAGTATTTATGAATTCATAAAGTTCTTTCCAAAATTAAATGAGTAATATAATTTAATATTTTAGAAAAATTCTGAGGAAAATTTTATATTCTACCCATAGAACAAGCATCTGATTAATTTCCAGGCACTATTTCTGAAAAGCAAGAATTTTTCTTATACTCTCTGAGATCCCTTTTGAATGATAGGTAAGGACTTACTTCATCCAGTCGCCGTTCAGTTCCCAGAGCCAAGAGGTTATTGTATTCCCTTTCAAGAATCTGCCTTGCCTGTTGACATTAAATTACAGTTACCATCACTGAAATCACATTTTATTTTAAAAACATATAAGCTGTATTTATCTGAGAGTGCATTAAAAACCATGTTTTATTTGTGATTCCTTAAATTTTTTAGTCCTACACATTTACCAGACATTGTAAATTTTAGCTATAAACACTAGGTAGAGCAAATATTTTTTTGTCTGAGGATGGTGGAGAGATAGCCTCGAATAAATGTCTGAGGTCAAGAGGTTTTCACCTCACTTTGTTATTTTATTCCAATTGAGTATATAATATAATAAACTTTGATATATGTAAAAACATGATAAAAAATGAAGTTGGACTGCCACATTTTTATTAGATCTATGCAGGTAGTTCTCAAACCGGATCAATGATCATCATTTGGGGAAACTTTAGAAAAGGATTCCTGTGTCCTATTTCTTGATATCTGATTTCTTAGGACTATGATATAGGCTGGAGGCTTTATTTTTAATTTGTAAAGTACACTGTTAATTCATGTAATTATCCATATTTGGGAATCACTATCATACCCAATGCTAATTGTATAATTCAGACATGTAAATAGAAATGACTGCCTCTCAGAGAAGCAGAGACTGAATGCCATCTGCTAGGGATTTTGTTTTGGGGAATCTGGTATTCAGGTGGGAGGTTGGGCCACATAACCTCTAAATCCCCTCCTGTTTAATTGTATGATTTTGTTTTGGCTAGATATCTAGTAGCTTCAAATTAAAACCCCAGTGACACATTTGAAAGGCTGAGATAGCTTTTATTAGAATCATGAATACACAGCCAAATTCTTTTTCTAATACTTTAGTTTGTCATTATATAAACCAGGATACAGTGAGACTACAGCACAAAGGGGCTTGCCTGGGTGTTCTGTGTTGGAATCTGTAATAATAATGCTAAGCTGCTGTAGTCAAAGTTTTCATCCAGGGCTATAAGTGAGCCGTGCACACCACTCTCAAGAATATTATTTGCATACTCTCGAAGTCCAATTGCTTGTATCCAGCGAATAACTCGATCATTGCTCCACACCAACACATCTAGGAAAAGGAATCCATCATTTTAGGCTGCAGTATTTTGCATAATAAACAGAACCACTGGCTGAAATGAGCTGCAGATATCTGGCCAGGTTGCATTTATCCAGATTTATCCACTCTCTAATATACCTGCCTCCCTTCGGTTGCATGTATTTACTGTTCTAACAACTGAACTTTTGCTCTGTAAGTCTAGAAAAAAAGTTGTCATTTTCAGAGTGTTTGGTATTATTGAAATGACAGCACTTCCATCACATGGAACAAAATGTCTCCAAGTATTCCTCGTTTTCACACTAGAGCTCTAGGGGTCCATTTGAAGTTCAATGTTTTTACCACCAGATGGGGACATTTCTTATTTGTGTCTTGATAAACAACTTCAGTAAACAGCAAAATGAGATTCTAATACTGTTTTTCATTAGAAATGTTTATTAACCACTACTTAAGCATTACAAATAGACTAGAAGATACTGTTTTTCACCTGAAGTCATATGCAAGAACAAAACAGAACAGTAAGACAAAACAGGAACTAAATAGATTGATACTTCTCTATTACTGTCGATTTATTATTTTCCAATTACATAGTAATGCAAAATTCAAGCTCTAGTCAAAAGTCAGAAGTTGTTTTTCCTTTGTTAAAAAGTAGTATTTTACTGAGGAACAAAACACTTAGATTTTTATTTTCTAAAAATAAAACCTGAGAAAAATGTCATGAGTCCCTTTTATAGACAAAAACATATCAAAGTGTATTTTATCACTTATTTTTTTTCTGTTTCTTCTCATAATTACTTAGCTAAATGCTACATAAAAATTAGCAAAATAATCAGAAGGAACAGAATGTTCCATAGAAAACTGAGAATTTTAATGAACTTAGGGGGAAATGAAAAAAATTAAAACCTTTTTTCTACTTGTAGAAAGGGAAAGGAAGCCATAATTACTATTAAAGTATACTTTCCTGTCAATTTCTTTTTTCTTAATGAAATTTAAACCTTTTTCAGAAAAAGTATAAAAAATATTTAGGGAAATATTATTCTACTTCAACTGTTTATTTTCTCCATTTCAATTATCTGCATAGTTAGTGTACCAGTTGGGAATGGAGAGGAGAGTATTTTATATTGTCTAACTTTTTCAAAAGCATTATTAATTTGTCCTAATGCATTCATTATAACCATCTTAGGTTTTCTTGTGCATAACATTAAAGTAATAAAGTGATAACACAGTCACATAGAGGTTCCCTCATGCACCTTCTCAGTCATTACTATTACCCCAACAGTAACAGCAAATATTCTGACTACTCCCACTAAAGATTAGAATTTTTTTTAGCTTTTTATAAATGAAATCATACATTATGTACTTTTGTGTCTGTCTTTCACTTAATACAGGATTCATCTATGCTTTGGAAAATAGCAGTGGATTATTGATTTTCAATGCTATTTAGTATTCCATTGTATGATTATGCCACAATATATCCATTCTGCTGTTGACGAACATTTGGATGGATTTCACTTTAAGTTATTAAGGATAGTGCTTTTTGAACGTTGTTATTCATATATTTTGTTGTGTATATTTACGTATTGCAGTTGAGTAAATAAGAAGGAATAGAATTGTTGAGTTATATGGTATACATACATTCACTGTTAGCAGATATCACTAAACAAATTCCACTCTCACAATTTAACCCTGCACTAGCAATGTATGAAAACCTGCATCTTTACCAATACTTTGTACTTTTTATTTACTTTGTTAGCTTTTTTTTCCTATACCATTATGGTAGATGTTCTGTGTTATGGGTTGCATTCTGTCCTCCAAAAATTCATGTTGAAATTCTAATCTGCAGTCCCTCAGAATGTAACATTGTTTGGAGGTGGTGTCTTAATAGAGATGATCAGTTAAAATAAGGTCATTGCAATAGGTCCTAATTCAACATGACTAATGTTCTTCTTAAAAGGGGAAATTTGGAAATTAACATGCATACATGGAGAACACTACACGAAGATGAAGGCAGAGATCAGAATGATGTTCCTATAAGCCAAAGAACGCCAAAGACAAGCCAAAGAACACCAAAGATTCACAACAAACCACCAGAAGCCAGGGGAGAGCAAGGACCATATTCTTCTTGCAGCCCTCAGAAACAACCCACTGTACTAACACCTTGATCTCAAACTTTTACCCTCTAGAACTATGAAACAATAAATAAGCCAAAGAACGCCAAAGATTCACAACAAACCACCAGAAGCCAGGGGAGAGCAAGGACCATATTCTTCTTGCAGCCCTCAGAATCAACCCACTGTACTAACACCTTGATCTCAAACTTTTACCCTCTAGAACTATGAAACAATAAATTCCTGTTATTTAAGCCACACAGTTTGTTGTACTTTGTTACAGCAGCCCCAAACAAACTAATACATGTGGTATCTCCTTGTAGTTTCAATAAGCAACTCCCATCTTGACTATGAAAATATCTGCTACTTTTATATGTGTCAGTTTTTGCTTTTCATATTTTAAGTCTACATATTAGATGCATATAAATCTTCTACATCTTCCCTTTCATTATTTTTAAATACTCAACTTATTTCTAGTATGTTTCCTGCCTAAAAGTCTATATTCTAATGTTAGAAGAATCACAACTTTGGTTAGTATTTGCATGTGAATCTTCTTTACTTCTGACTTTTCTATGTTCCTATACTTATACTTATGTTCTTATACTCCTCACCACGTCCAATATGATTCATCATTTTGTTTCTTTCCTTTGTATTTAAGTTATGTCCATTGTATACAACATATCCTTGTTTTTGTTTTATCCATGTGTCTTTTAATTGGATCGGTCTACTCACATTTAATATTATTACTCAGATATCTGAGTTCAAATCTACCATCTTTCTATTCGTCCTATTTGTCATTTGTTCCTTTTCTCTCTTTCTTGCTTCTTTATTATGTATTTTTTATTTTATTCCATCACTCTATTAACTTTTTATCTCTACACTTTATATTATTCTTTTTGTAGTCACACTTAAATGTTATAATATGAATCCTTGACTTATTAGAGTCTTCTTTAAATTAATCCTTTTATCATTTCTTATATAATGCAGACCTTCAATCAGCTTAATTTTATTTCACTCCCTTCCTGCCTTTTGCATTATAGTTGATTGTTATGTATTTTAATTCTATGTAAAATTTAAACCCTGTAGACATTATTATTGTTTTTATATTATTATTAAATTTACCCATACATTCTTTCAGTTCCTCCTCATCTTGTCTGCATTTGTTATTGTCTTTAGGATCATTTTCCTTCTGCCCGAATAAGTCATTATAATATTTCTTTTCTATTTAGGTTTTCTAGTGAAGGATTCTCCCAGATTTTGTCTGTCTGAAATTGCATTAATTCTGCCTTAACACTGATGGACTTACTTATTTCTAGGTAAGAAGTTAGTTTGATTCAACATTTAAAGATATCCCACTTTTCTCTCACATTACTTTAGTTGAACAACATCAGATATTTTCTGTTGCACCTTGGAAAGTAATGTGGAGTTTACTTTGACAGATTCTAAGACAATTTTGTGTGAGGGAGGGGGGGTCATGGTTTTCAGCAGCTTTATTATAATCTCTTTTTAGTTTTCTTACCCTTTGGCTTCTGCTTTCTCTTCAATTTTTAGCTTCTAATTCCATTCTTCTTAGGAGTCCACACATGTCTCAAGAGGAAAGTTGTATAATGTCAGGCTTACTTATTTCCCTTTTCTCCAAGATCTTGGTTCATAAAGGCCTGACAGCTATGGCACTCTAAACTTCAATTCCCATGGAAACACCCCACCCCATCCCCGTCACCCCAATCCCCACTGCTCTGTGAAACAAGAAAAATGATAGGTTTACCATTTACTCCAATGCATCTGTCTCTGTCTCTGTCTCTGTCTCTCTCTCTCTCTAAGATCACAGTCTCTCAGGTCTTGGCTGTCTTAGTTTCTTTCTTTTTCCTTCAAACAGCTATTTATTGCTATTTATTCTTTTATCTAGCATTTCTATTTCTTCTTTGTTGAAGATTAGCTTTGGTCGAATTGATTTGATTCAATGTATTCCATTATAGTCAGAAGTAGAAGTCCCTCAGGTTGGTTTGTGCACTTTGTGTCTCTGCCAATCCACAGTGCTGGTAAAGCATTTGTATATGAGTATGGAAGCTATAGGTATACTTGTTTCACATCTCTCTACTTAACTCCTATGGTGCTTTGAACAATCTCATTTCAAAACATAAGCCCTAACGTGAGGAATGCCCACTTCTCACAGTTTTACTGCTATTACCCACTCTATCCAAAGCAGATGAAATTCCTGCAGGAAGTAGGACATTTATTGTCTCCCTGAGAGGTTTGCCTATGTCTTTCTCCATGTCTTCAAGCAAAGCAAAGGACTTACTTAATGACCTGTACTATATGTGGAAATTTTATGTTGTATGTATTCACTGTGTCTCCCTGGGTCATTCTGAAGTAGAGGCTTTCCTCTGAGTTTTTATTAGCCTGTTCCAATGTGGTGTTTGACCTCAGAAAATGGGATGGGAGCTGCTTAATATTACATTGTAGTTATATTATCAGCTGCTGTTCATAGTAACTGATTTGTTCTAACTACTGGTTACCTCACATCTATACTTCGAAAGCTGGATAGGTGTGTATGAGTGACACTAACAGTTCCTCACTTGATCTCACTAAATACAATATTTTTTTAAACCAATGATACAATGTTCTCATCAAAAAACCAATAAAAAACTGCCATTATTTTTTTGCACTGGATAGATTTGTAAATAGGAAGTGTTTGTTCTTTTCTGGAGCTGGGTTTATATTTTGATAGTCCAAGACATATTATGTAGTCATCATATTTCTGCAAATATATGTCCATCACATAAAACATCCCATTCTCACACCTGTAGTTTAGAGTGATCAAAGATACAAAATAACCCATTCATGGAGTGAAGTCTAATAAAGCACTAATCTACACTTTTCTTCAGAATAATAACATTCCCATTTTTTCATTTTGTAAATCAGATCTTTTTCTATAAATTTGTTTTCAAGCATTATTTATGCCCTGACTTTAAAGCTTTGTAGGAATCCTCTTGCCGTAAACAATAAATGGCTACAGATCAGTGTTGACTGTTTCCTAGTAACAAATTAAGTGTTAGTACATTTTGAAATTCACATGGTCTCCTTACTTTAGAAAACAGTTTATTAAGGTCAAGGTTAATTAACACTTCAGATAATAACAGAGACCCCCTAGTCACAGTTGAGAGCTATTCCTGTAAATGTCATGTGATCAGTTATAGAAAACAGGGGCTATTTATGATCTCACTCACAGATATTTATCATGTGGAGTTAGTTGTTTGTGTGTAATCATAGTGAATCATGGCAGTGTTTTCTCAGGACTACACTCTAACCAGCAATCGCCAAATACTAACATAACATTTGGTGGAGGGCCAAATAGTAATCCTTTCCTTTAAATCTACCTATATATGAAGCATTTCATGTGGTAAGACCAGGCGTAATAAAATTTAATTGGAAAAAATACCTCAGAAAGTAAAACAGAAAGTAATATACCACGGGCAATAAAACCTATATATGTGCTAAAACACCCTCTTTTAGATCAAGCACAGACTTCCTTCTGAGATCTATTTTTGGTCCATTAGTTCCCAAATTTCAATTCAACTGAACAACAAAGGACTGAAAACAACCTGCAATTTCCTGGGGTGCCAAAGTAATGTGAAATCAAACAACTCTATTTTGGTAATGGAAAAACACTTTCTGGCCCCTAAGTAATCAGTCAAATGAAGTGTTACAAGAAATCCATTGTGTGTCTATCTACTCTCTGATGAACCATACGTAGAAAAATATTTTTAACCACTCACTTTCACATGCATTCAAACCCATTCTACTAGAACTAATGTAATGTCCAAGAACTGCCAAAGATAAAAGTAATTTCTGACATTGTTTATCACAAATGAATATTATTGAAGCCTAAGATGCATATTTTTAAATAAAGAATAAAACATCACTAAACTTTAATGTTGTGGAAAAAGGGGTAACATGAAATATGTACTATTTTCTTATCTAAGGTAAGCCCCAATGGAAGTGAAGTTGAAAACAGACTCATGCCTAATTTTGAACAATTAGTGTAATGTACAACACTCAATGAATTTGATTAAATGCTTGCACATATAAACTCTTGAACAATAGGAAAGAAAATATAAGTAATAAGTAGTTTAATATCCAAAATTTTCCTCAAAAATTTTGATTATATTTACCTTAATAAACCCTTTTTCTCCTTTAAGCAACATAAGTGGAGGTGTGATTCTTACCATTAAAAAAAGGCCTGCAGATGCTTATATCTTATACCCAACAATTTATTTTTTCCGTTAATAGCAATAGTAAAATTCAATGGTCTCTAACAATTATAGTATCTAACATATTCCTCTTTTAAAACTATTATTTTTCCTGTATATTAAGGTACATATTAACATTTAGATGGTTAATTATTAAATACAATACTTTTCTAATCTGGAAAATGCAGTGTCTTTTCTTTTCATTCAAATCAAACATTTTTGTACACATAATAGTTGCAGTAATTAGCAATACTCCTAAAATCATTCTCACCTGGAATTATTAATGGACTAATCCAGTTTATAAGGGAAAAATTCTTATATATTTTTATATAAAATTTCTATACAATTTTTATAACTACAGTATAAAAATAAAATTTCTAGGCACTGAAACAAAATTCAAATGATATAAAATAAAGAAGAACTGCCATAAAAAATGATATACCATGTTTCTCTGAATCATGAGACTATTCTATTAAAAGTTTGATAAAAATATCTATTTGGAGACATCTTTACTACAAGCAGAATGTATAATTAATAGGTTCAGAGGGGAATAAATCCCAATTCAAAAAATCAAGAATACGCCCATAATGGGAGGGATATTTACCCTTTTCTGTGTTTTAATTAGAATAATACTGAAAAAAAATAAGATGACACTTCTGGCCTAATACTTATGCCACTTAGAAACCTTTGTAACATGTATAGCATCTTACTTCAGTAAAAGCGAAAGCTAAAACCCCAGAGAAAAGGCATTTAATATGAAAGAAACACGTTACCTTTTATTTCATGTTGGCTTGCTTCCCGTCTTCTTTCTAGCTCTTTTCTGTCATAATTTAACCTTTTTAAGCACATAATTCCATACTGTAAACTTGTTCTGTTATTTTTTTTTTCAAAAAGAAGAAAACACATTGAATTTACTCAGCAGGTGAAGAATGGTCTTTGATTAAGCATAGTCATCACTATACACTATTTTTCTAGGGTAACAGGTTAATATTTTATACTTGTACTTAAATCCTTCTGTATTGGAGGAAAATAAGTTTATAATTATTCTAAACACACAATGTTTCTAAAGAGTAGAAAAATATTTTCAAAATAAGAAAAACTTAGTTTTGAAAATAATCAGGGATTGTGCTGTTCATTCATATGTCTTTCCCTTCCATTTACTTATTCCTATATCATCTGGAGACTAATATTTTATTTATTTGCAAAAAACCCAAAGTCTCTGTTATGAAGACAGTGAGTAATTTAGAAGAAATGGATACTCTCTTCTTATGCTGATGAGAGAAATAACATGAAAACATAAGGAAGTTTTAAGCAATAAGATAACCAAATACCAAAACAAACAGTCAGCAAGTCTAAGTGATACACAAGTATGTGAAGAAGAACAAGTCAGCAGACATTGAAACTGTGTGGAAAGGAAGGTAGCAGAGAAAGGGTTATTATGGAAGATGAAGCGACATAAACATAGGATTGCAGATAAAATTTTAAAGGTGTGGTGATAGGACACACTGTTCAGAGTCGAAAGTTCACACTAGGAAGTAAGGAGGAATGCAATTTCGTAGGTGGAGTAGGGGTATATTAAGAAAAGCCTTGCATTTCGTGTAAGTGTGAAATATGCCCAGGTGATAGAGAATTATTGGACAATTTTCAGAGAAGAAATGACAATAAAAGATTTTTGTTTAAGGAAGAATAATCTAGTAGCAAAATAGGAGATGAAGGAAATACGTAATCCTAGGAGACAGAGAAACCAATTAAGGGGGCGATGCTGCTGAAATAGAGACAACAGCCAGAGCATGAGAAGAAAATCCAGAGACCAAAGATGTTCAGGGAGAAGAGATGAGAAGACTTAGTGATACTGGATTTAAAGGATGTGGAAAAAAGAATCTCTAGGTTTCAAAAGTAAAGATCATTGGCTGTTAGTGATTTCTTAAGTATTTAGGAATATATGCAAATTTAGACAAACACTCTGGCCAAGCTACACTTGCGTTGGATGCATTTCTAAGCCCTGCATTTTAATAAGAATGATGTTGAACCAAATATTTCAGAATCAGAGAAAAACAGAAAGAAATCTGTATTAGGTAGGTGTTATGGGCTCAAAAGTGCTCCCCCCAAATTTATAAGTTGAAGCTTTAAATCCCAGTATCTCAGAATGTGACTCTATTTGGAGACAGGGCCTTCACAGAGGTAATTAAGTTAAATGAGGTCATTAGGGTGGGACCTAATCCAAACTGACTGATGTCCTTATAAGAAGAGAAAATTTGGACACACAGAGACACCAGGAATGTGCATTCACAGAGGAAAGTCATGTAAGGACACAGAGAAGGTGGCTATCTGCAAGCCAAGGAGAGACACCTTGGAAGAAATCAGACCTATCAACATCTTGATGTCAAACTTTTAGCCTCCAGAACTGTGAGAAAATAAAGTTATATTGTATAAGCTAGCTACCTGTCTGTGGTACCTTTTTAAGGCAGTCCTGGCAAACTAATTCAGTGAGACAGCAGATAATACTGATATAATAGCCATCATTGACAATAGGCAACTTGAGATTAATCCAATGGTTCCTGGCTAGTTTCTGCCAAGTTTTTATACATCATATAAAATTGTGCTATAAAGAGAATATATAATTTGGTAACAATATCCATCAGATTGAAAACTTGGCTCAAAAGACCATGGGATGCAATATACAGTTACTACCTGTTTTAAGTCAAGTTCAACATAACGTAAAAGATGAAGCTTGTGTATTTCAAACGAGAAGAACAAACAAGAACCCTGCGATTGAGTAATTTTTATTTTTCAAAAAAGAAAACTTGATCAATGTAAAAATAATTTTTACTGCAATTATAAAGCAGTGCTAAAAGTCAACTTAGTGAAGAACAGAAAAGCTGAACACAAGTGTAATGTCAAAATTTCTAAAAATGTCTAACACAACCGTATAAAATTTGAAGGCCTAAAGTTTGAGTGACAGGGAACTCACTACCTAACAATGTGAACACTATACGGCAGTTTAGAGTGGTGCAAAGTTGTTTTTTTTCTATTGAGTGGAAATCACTCACCCTAGTCTTTATACCTATTTTAACTAAAAATGTGCATATTCAGCAGAGAAAATATTATTCTACTACATAATAATAATCTCAAAAAACAAGAAAAACGTATCTAAAGCCTTTCATTATTCAAGTTAAATGTCTTTAATGTCTTCAACCTTCTCAGCAGACTTTTACCATTACATCTATGACAATTTAATGCACCCAAATGGATAGAAATGTTTTGTTATCTTACCATATGGTAGCATTTTTATTGTCCCTGCCGATAAACACAATCTATACATGCCTTGTCAATCCATTAACAAAAACAGAGATTTTTGTGTCAATTATAAATACAATATCTCTTTCACACAAATTGCTGTTCAATCATGGATTCTCTATCCAGCATTTTAATAGGTTTTTTAAACTGTCATATTTATTTGAACTAAATTCAATCCAACAGTGTCAACAACTGTATTAAAATTCAAAATATCTCCAGAAGTTGGAAGGAAGAACCTCAATTGTTATTTATCTTAATTTTACGTCACCAACAATTCTGATTTTTTATACCATCTTCATTTCAGTCACTAATTAAATGTTGGACAAGACCAAATAGTCTCCCAAGCTGAAATCATCTAGGTTTATATGTATTAATTTACCATCATAATCAACTACATATAAAACAATCAATCAAAACACAACTGATATTTTTTCACATAGCATACAAAACCATTAGGCTGCAATGGGGCATTTATAACATGGTACTACAGCAAGACTTATTTCTTACCTGCTAGATGTTAAACAACATAAAAAAAAGATTGCTTTTTTTTTCATCTGTGTCCTTATAGGTGCCTCAGTATTTTTTTTATGAAAATTAATACACAATAATCAAAAGCACTAATGGACATACAAAAGTTAAAGTACAAATATGTCCTTCAGAGACAAATTCCTTCTCAAAAGTTTTTTAATATGTCCCTAAATTATATAATTTATAACCACACGTATTTGTAGAGTTGAAACTACAAATATTTATTAATTCTTCATGAATAATTTTGTAATATAAACACACACCTATAAAAATCACAAATGGTAATATTGTAAATATCTGGAAAAAATAGACTTATGTTCTATGAGGAGAATTTTGTGCATGTATATTTTTGTAAACTTTGTGAACATAATATGCACAGAGCTCTATGTTAGATAGTCCCTGCAATTTGCTGCCTGAAAATATTTTTCCAAGTAGATGTACAAAGATGCATCAAATAGCACATATTTTCTATGTCCTACACACCTATTTTTGCTTTAGTAAAATACACATTATTTATTGTTTCACTTTATTCTTTGTCAAAAACCTACCGATGAAAACTATCCACCATTTTTAAATGAACACGGAGATCTTTTTTTGTTAGGGTGTTTTCATAAAAATTTAAGTTACAGATCATTCTTTTGGGGAAGAAAGAAAATCACCCTTTTAACAGAGGCCAGATATGAAATTATAATCATCTTATTTGCAAAATATGGTGATTTAAAAAGACATATATAGTATTAAATATAATATAGATTTAAATATACATATCAGCCTCATATTGAGCTAAGTGAAGATTTAAAATATTATGGCTTACAATAATGTGTTAATTTATATCCTCATAGCCTACTAAATGATATTAATTCTTAAAGCACATAAATTTCCTACCTGGGCCCAGCTTCCTTCCTCAGATTCTTTCTGCGTTAGCAGCAGGAAATGATTAATAAAGCAGGTAAATATAAATTAATTTCAAAAGAATACAGTAAAATTTTTCTAGCAGAAGCAAAATTGTTATACAAAATGTTAATTATTATGACATAGGCAGATAAATACACAGATTTTTTCTCAGGTCCAAAGTTATCAATTTCACATTTCAAAGGCAACTACAAGGCAGCTATATTGTTTTTAATTAATTCTAATTTAAATATACATATATATGACATGGGATTTTCATGGTTTTGTGGACATTTGATCTGGTCATCCAAATCTTTTTTTAATTCTTAAAAATTTGTAATATTCTGAAGGTAATGTATTATAATGACATGGGATTTTCATGGTTTTGTGGACATTTGATCTGATCATCCAAATCTTTTTTTAATTCTTAAAAATTTGTAATATTCTGAAGGTAATGTATTATAATAAAAATGTTTGATTATATATACAAATATATGATAAAGAAATCTTATATAAAGTAAACTGATGGAGTGGAAAAATTAACTATATCGCTCTAACAAAGCTTTGTGGTAATCAAATAGATTTCAACAGCCAACAAACCAAAAAACCAAACAAGAGAAAAAACAAGTACAACAAAGCTAAACTAAAAATAAACATAGTACATGATATTGGCATTTTTATCCATCATAAATTTCTACATAACCAACTTTTCAAATAGATATAAAACTGAAAGGACATTAAATTAAAAAGAAGTTGCTAAATATAAAACATACGATACACCCAACTTTGTCACTTTATATGAAAAATGACTATGTATAACGTTATATTTTTAAAAGCTGACAATTATAGAGTCCTAAAGGAGTTTTTTAAATCTGTGCTTTTGGATACCAAATTAACATAGCACTTTTTTTCTTCTTTTTTTGGTCAAGCTGTGTATATGAGATGGTAAAGCACAAAAAACTACATGTGTATTGCCTGTGAATATGCCCAGTACTAAGAAAAATTTGTTACCAAAAAGTTCCAGTGTTGCAAAATGGATAAATGTTTTATTAAATTCTTGATTAATCTTTGCATATTACAAACTCTGACACTAGTAACTACATTATGACAATTTAGCAGTGTTTCACAGATGTCAAGTGAGTACAGTAAAAGAAAACTGTAACGAAAAATGTTAGTTATCTCTGCACATAACTATATAAATACATCCCATTACACTGGTCGATAGTAAACAACTTAGCTTTTCCATCCAAACAGTAGCAAAATAACTTTTCCTCAGGTTCAACAAAACTGTAAAGACTAACCGTTTTTGCTGGAGCTGCAAGAGTTTCCATTTCTTCATGGGTCACCCAAACGTTGCCTGAAGGCTAGTGAGGAGGCCCAGAGGGAAGCAGTAAAATCCAGGAGAGGAAAGCAATGGCAAAGAAGAAAGGCAGCACCTCTGTAAGTTATCAGCATCACAGCAACACCACAGAGCCCCTGCCTCTATGGTACACTCAGAGATCCCTGCTTTTTCTACTCACAGAAATTAAATAGAAAGAGGCATGCTGTGAAGTTCATGGGAGGGTAAATTTAAAATGATATTTCTGCGACTATTAATCAGGAAAAGGGCATGATCGAAATTTGCATTTCAAAGGTATGCGATTATTAGATCCATTTTTGTAATAATGGGGAGCTGATTAAATTTGATTTGCAGAAAAAATGTAATTAATTTTTCTTCAGGAAAAGATGCACATGTATTTAGTTGCATTATTACCAAAATTCCATTCACATAATTTCAATTCTTCAGTTTCCTCGGACAGAGAAAGTCAGTTGACAACACAAATCTGTAAGCACTATTGTAACCTATCTGGAAACCAGCATCAGCTTTTCCCAAATAATTTCTTCCTTTTGAAATTAAGTAAATATGCTGTATTCCTATATTCTTATAGATGAAGAAGTGAAATGATATTTTTGATTTAATAAAAAGTATTTTCAGCCTCATTGAACACCATCAAATTATAAAACCTATACATTTCTAATTTTTCTGCAGTATCCTATACCATTACAGAGAAGAACACAGTGTAAAAGGAAATTTTTACCTCTATCAGGAACTACTCTATTATGAATTCTCATTTGCTTTTTAAATAAAACAATCCTTGATATTTGTTCTATGTACTGAATAATGTACCATTTCTAAACCAAAGTTCATTAGTAACATAGAGATCAGGTCTATCATTGAAGGTACTAGCCACTGGAAACCACTTTCCATTAAAGTCTACCATTTGACTAGAAAGTCTTTATGAACATTGCAAGGTTGTCCAAGCACATCCATGAAATTTACACCCCATCTATTACTTGTTACTTGTTTTGGAACAGGCCTAGTTTTAGAGTACCAGAAGTAGAAAATTTGATATCCAAACATAAGTCATCACCATAAATCACTTTGGCCTTTTCTGCCATTCACACAGTAGCATATTTGACTTTCTTTATATCATGAACAATGTAATTCAATGAAATTTAAAAAGTAACTACATATAAACTAAACTAATAAGTATAATTTGATATATATGAAATCTCATTAATACATTTTAGTAACAAAGGGAATTGAGTAAAGAAATATCATTATAATAAGTAAATCATATGGGCATAAAAATTCCAAAGGTTATTTGTATCATACATCATATATATGTATAGAATTCACATTCACTTGCCATTTCAGAATTCAGAGTTTAGCAGAATTTTTTTCCTATAAGATAAATCTGTACACACCTATAAAATACTTTTAGAATATGGGAGCAATTCATGCCATTAAAAGCCCTTTCCCTCTATCCCCAGCTTCTGGTAATGGTGCTCATTATAAACAAAAAGTTGCATATGAATATATGAAACATTAAATCACTTGGAATCATTTTTATTGACTTTATGAGGAGTTCACTACTTTAAAAAGAACTTGACCCTCATTGGTCTCATTCCTTTACACCCAGTGATCACAGTGCTTTGCCTGGGTGGCTATACCATTTGCTCAAAGTGAGTTTCAGTGATGATTATCTGAGAGGAAATTCATTTAAACCAGTCTTGTTTTAAACTGATTTTTGTAGCTTCTACTTTGATCTGAATCCAAATAATAAAGATCTCCTTCTATAAGAAACTTGATCAGTATTATCTCATAAGAAAGTTTAATCTTTCACAGGTTATCTTGAAGTCTGGTTTGCCAGTCAATCGCCATATTCTGGGATGGAGAACATGATAGAAAGTATGGTTTTATCTGTATCTTTACTTGCAAAATGAGTATATATCCGGAGCAATTTTCTAATTGGCAGATTAGAAGGGTTGGCAAACTTTCATAAATTGTGTGTTAGTTATTTACCTTTGATTTGCAGTTTCAGTGGGGAGGAGCATTGCCTGCCCTACAATTTTGTAAAGTAACCCACAAAATAGCTTCTCCACAACCTAACCAAACAGACATTAGTTAAGGTTTTAACAAGTTTATTTTACAAGCAAGCCCATTCTTAGTAAGTCAATTATTGAATCAGATTGCTTTCTTTCCACCACCTGTGTAGGGAATGAAACTTTCATCTGGTTAAGTCAATAAGGAGTGATTTAGAGCATGAAGTTTCCAGGAAGAGCGTCCCTAAGTGAGTAGCTAGAGAGGGAATCTCTGAGCAACCAAAGGACATAAAGACTGTGGTTCCTTGGCACTGAGGATAGAGAGTCCAAAACGTAGTTTGGGAAAATCATAAAGGACAAACATTAATACAATTTGTTGTTGAACAAGCAAGAGCCCTTTTAAATCATCTACTCACTGCTTTTGGCAGTCAGTGCTGCAATCTCCCAAATGTCAGAGTTGAAGAACACAACCAGTAGTCATTTGCGGCTAATGTCATCTAAGACTAGCAGGTGATTTATAAATTCAATTACAATTACCAAATTATAATCAGGAGATTCGAGTTCTAGCAGTGCCACTTTCAGCAACTACCCAAGAACATTATCTAAACTTCTCTAAATTTCAGATTCTACATGTCTTAAGTGGGACTAAGGCTACATGCTTTACACTAGAAAAATACTGAAAAGTTTAAATTATGATATAATATGGTCTAATACACGTCTGGGACTAGGACGAGGCAAGTGAGATACCAGGAGGCTAAATTTAAGGAAGCACAACTTTCAGGGTGATGCAAGTGCAGGGTCAGCACCTGACAATGACAGCCTACTTAAATTTCATGCTCGAGGTGCCTTGCTTGCCTCCTCCTGTTAGTCCACATGGAGAAGAATATGTAGAAAGTATGGTCAAATGAGAACCAAGAGAAAAAATCCTGAGGGGTATTAAGAATGATCAAATCATTCTGGGAAAAGTTATGACAGCAAAATGAATATTAAAATGAATTTAAGGAATAACCATGAAATTAATCAGAGGGAAATAATTATTTCCCTTGCTGTCAGAGATACAGGACAAGTAGAGCAGCCAAACCTCAGAATAATCCTAAATCTTTTCTAGCTCAAAGTAACTTTCGTTACTACCTAGGTCACTTTAAAGTATTTTTTATCTTACAATTGAATTACAAAGTATAGTAACTTGAAATTTACTTTTCACATTCAAATGACTTGGCTCCACATTTCTTCCCTATCTGAATTTTTATTTCCCATTATAAGAATGTTATTTACCTAATTATACCTCACCTTATTTCTAATAAAGGTTGAGGATTATGAGGTTAATAGTAATGAAAAGAGGATCCAAAGCAGACTGAAAGGATTCTGTAAAAAAGAAGGAAAACGGACAGAGGGCAGGAACCGGAGAAAGTACTTGTTAGGAGCATAGATTCTGGGCAAAATTACGTTCAAAGCAGACTGAAAGGTTTCTGTAAAAAAGAAGGAAAACTGACAGAGGGCAGGAACCGGAGAAAGTACTTGTTAGGAGCATAGATTCTGGGCAAAATTACGTGGGAGTATGACCTTGGATAAGGCACTTTACTTTTGTACATGTTTTTTTCCACCTGTACAACAGATGTAATAAAAGTATCTATCTCATAGTGTGGTTGTGAGGCTTAAATGAGTCATTCTATGTAAAGCACCTTGAACAGTGCCTGACACTTAGTAAGCACCTTCCTGTTGTTGGCTATTACTGTAATTCTATTAGAAATTCTGTTAAGCAACCTCCATTCAAGCAAGCCTTTCCTGTAATAAATACTCTCTATTTCCCCTGTATAATATGCTGACTAATGCCTATCTTATGCCTTATATTTCTGCTCAAACTTGTTGAATTATATGGTTACCAAAGATCATTTTATTTGTTCCCAAACCTATTTCTACACTTGTGTTTTTAAAGTTTTGATTTGGCAATTTAAATAAATATTGTGTAAAGCAAAACAATAAATTTGGCTCATATATAAACACAAAGTTGAATGATTTGGAAAGACCAGATAAAGCCAAATCTCAAAGACCACAGTGGTGTGTTGGACTTGCAGAGGGAAAGAATAATCTACAAAGAAGGCCACTTTGGTCTACAAAGTGGAGTGGGGGGAAAAGGGGGAGGGAGAGGGAGGTTGGGGATAATTGGGTGGGGGACACGGGGTACAAATGCAATTTGTGGTAATGGGTATGCTGCCAGTATGAATCTGGCCCCCACGTCAAGGGCATGAGGGGTGACAATCAGTTTTGTATCTCATGAATATTCATAACCAATAAAAAAATTTTAAAAAACTAAATAAATGACTCAGTATGGCAGAAAAACAAACAAACAAACAAACAAAAACCTATCAATAAGACACAACTTTGTTAAAGTCGACGAAAGAAATTGTAAATGTCCAGAAGGATTCTGCACTCAGATAGCTTTTTGAGTTATCTCGAAGTCGTCACTTTAAAGAGAAACCTAAACTTAAAAAATTAGAGATGTTTTGTGGATGAGGTTATCAAAGAAAACTAATGTAAAACTCCATGCGTTGGAAACATAGTCAAGCAAAAGTCCTAGGTGGCTCATCTAAATTTGTAAATGCCTGAATCTTTACTTATTTTTATTTAAGATTAAATATTTAAAGAATGTAGTAATTCTTTATGACATCCTCCTTCATCCAAATTGCAACTGATATCTCCATTCCTATCCTATTAGTTAAGAGGTATTTTACAGTAATCATAGCTTGGGAAAAAGAAAAAGAAAGCTGGAAGATTGGGGTTGGCCCAAGGAAATAATAAATGTAACATTTAGATTTTCTTACTGGTCAAGCCCATTTCATCCACACAGGAAAGAATGCAGAATCAGTTTTAGTTGGTTTAAAAAAAAAAGCGTAAGTACTCTGCTTTTTCTCCTGAAAATCTGAGTTAATGAACGAGGTACACTGAACAAATCAGACTTCATTGTACAAAAAACTTGTATGATGTGAACAAATTGCAGTGTTTTGGGAAACATGATAATATATCTTAAAATAAATAAATAAATAAAAATAAAAAACTCCTGCCTTTGTATTTTCTAAGTATGAATCCTAATGTATAATTTTAGGTTATGTCTTTAAGATGTGTTAATCTCCACTTTATGCAGTGGAAATATTACTAGAATTTTATATGGAATTTTTGTTTTGCAAAGCAAATCATATTTGAAAAATATTAGAAATGAGTAAATTCTTCCATGTATATGGAGTAAAAGGAAGAATTACCATTTAGTATATTATTTTTAAAGCACAGAGGCACAACTTGACTCATCTTATATAGAACTTGCATCAATATTTAGCAAAAGGCTTTATCATCTATGAATGCTTTTACACATTAACAAACAGATAAACATTCCTATAATCCTATAGACAAAAACGATTATGAATTTATAATTAATATAAGTACAAGATTGATAAGAATATAAAAAATTTAATAGTAGTTTTAAAAATGTAAATTTAAGCAATGAGATAAAACAAATGTTGACAAAGGGAAGAGAAGTGGCAGTACAATTTGGCAATTAAGTTGTAAAACTAATAAGACTGTAAANAAGGGAAGAGAAGTGGCAGTACAATTTGGCAATTAAGTTGTAAAACTAATAAGACTGTAAATGTTCTATACACAAATATTGCAATGAAAATAGCCATAGTTTATGCAACAATATAACTGCATGAACATATTTTACATACACACAATAAAAGTTTTTATATAAGCAGAATGTCTAATAGTAGGGATTTGGCTAAATAAATTATGATACTTCCATTAAGGAAATATGCAGCAAGTAAAAATAATACTGCAATTACATATTTAATAAAATGCAGAAAATACTTGTGTTATATTACTAAGTTTCAAAAGAAAAATACAAAATAATATATTGTGTAAAACAATCCATCTTTATAAAAAATGAAGAAAANCTCTAAAATTGTTATTTTTATGGTATTTAATTTTTTATTGTTTTTCTGTACTTTACAAATGTTGTACAAAATCATGTATTAATTCTGTAAACAAATACAAAACTTAAATGATATAAATAAAACCTTTGACATGAACTGAGGCTAGATCATAGAGGATCTCATAAGTTCTCTTCTTCCTGTTCTTTAAATAACTGAGTATACTTTTACTTTTAATATTCTGTGATTTAAATTTTTTCAGTCTGGTTGAACAGTTTTAGAAAAAGAGTATTTAATTTTTCCATTTTTTTAAAATTAAGAAATGGATTAAGCTGCTAAATAAAAATAATAAAGTATGTCTTATTCTTTATCTGAATGTTGGACTTCAAATGTTGTTATTTTTGCCAGAGTCAGAATTTTTAATATTTTTACTTACATTTGCTCTTGGGAGGAGACTGTTGATATAAAGTAGTTGTGCTACTTCTCTCTCAGCTGGAAATTATTCAGAATATTCATCAGATCTGAATTCGGTTTTCAATAACTGTTATAATGGCCTGCTCAGTTTTTA